TATTGTGTGGTTGCATAAGTTTAGCAATTTCCTTCAACACACTTTGTACGATTCCATATATAATAGAAAAAAAGAGAAATAATTATAGCAAATATAAACAGCAATACACACTTTATACCAAAAGGTAATGCAGCAAAAAATCAAATAAAGTCTCTATCATTACATTATCTTTTCAGGGTTATCTTGGTGTCACCTGGAGTACTGATTACTTTCCAGTGGGATCTCGTCACTGGGCCTTTAATGTGACTGGCATGAGTCCATCCACGCTCAGCAGTTCGGACAGCTGTTTCTGTTGTAAGCAAAACAAGATAAGGTCCCTCCCAATTGGGTTTTAGGGTTTCTTCCTTCCACACTTTAATCAATATCCAATCCCCAGGTTTAACATTGTGAATTTTTAAGTCCAACGGGGGTCGTTGCACAATCAGTCCATGTTCCCAAAGCTTGTTACGATGTTCTGCTAATTGTGAAACATATTCGTTAATCACACGGTCTCGAATTAAAACATTTGTTTGTGGACTTTCAATTCTATAAGACATTCCATACACCATTTCAAACGCTGATATTCCTACATCTGCTCGGGGTCTGGTTCTGAGAATTAATAGTGCCATGGGTAGGCACTTAATCCATGATAATTTGGTTTCTATCATTAATTTAGTCAAAATAGTTTTGATTTCTCCATTCATCCTTTCAACTTTTCCCGAACTTTGCGGATGCCATGGTGTATGGTATTCCCACTTAATACCCAAGTTTTCTGTTAGATCTTTAATAATGTTTGACACAAAGTGTGTTCCCCTGTCCGAGTCGATTACTTCAGGTACTCCATATCGAGGTATAATGTGTTCAAGTAACAGTAAATCAAGAAAGAAAATAAGATATAAACGGATTTCAAGCATAAAATGTATACATAATTATTAGGGCAAAATACAAATGATTTTATTATGATTCATATTTTTAATTTTCTGTAACAAAAATATTTGGAATAATACCTTTCTAGTGAAATGTTTTAAAATAATCCCAGATTAAGTATTTTTCAGTAAATATTACTGATCAGGAATATGTGTGACAATATTCAAGATCTGACTAATTCTCTTTTACAGACACTAAATCACTATATCTCATAGCAGTGATACTACTAAGTGTCAGACTTAGAAATTTACTGCCTTAAAAGGACTGTATCTGGCAGTGGAGTCAGACGGAAAGGCCAACTGCAAACTCCTGCTTTCACAAACCCAATGAAAAAGCTGCTGTTCATATTTCTTGAGATAAAATCAAATATTAAACACTTGTACATGCAAACACAGGCACTTCAGCATAACAAAATTTCTTACAAAATGCTTACCTTCAAAAACCATTAAAAGCAAAAGATTTCCCTCCAATTATTAGAGTAGAAAGACTTGACCATTCCCAGAGTAAAAAAAAAATAAATAATCTTATTATCACAGACTACAGTCTTTCAAGATAAAATACAGACATTAAAATGTAAATAAAACTTTAATTAATTTCTTTTTTTTTTTTTAAATACAAATTATCAACTTTGTATTAAATTATCAAAAAGCAAAAGTAAGGTTATTAATTTTCAAACCATATCTGAATGAGTAAAATTGGAGATGAGGAAGTATCTTCGCCAGTTTGGAATCCAGCATCCATACAACACACAAGCCATACTAAAAGCAATTATTACATTTTACTTTTTTAAGAGTAGATATCAATTGGAATAAAAATGCTAGATTACCCAGATAAAAATTTAATCATAAAAAAATGAAATTATTTATCTTCATCAAAACATTTAATTTAGAAAAACTATTTCCTATTCATAGGCCAAATTATTTATATACAATATAGTGTATATATTACATAATTAAGTTCCAGGTTTTTTTTTTTTTGTTTGTTTGTTTTTTTTGTTTTTGTTTTTTTTTTTCATAGGCTTCAACAGAATGCTTAAATATTCTGGATTTACCCCAGAGTACAAGGGCTTTCCTCAGTCGTTCCAGCCACTCAGTAGGGCTTTCATCTTTCTTTTGAATTCCATTAAATGCTTTATTGATATTCTGGCCACGGGGTACTGCTTCTCTAATTCCCTGAATTACTATAGTTCTCAGGTCCTGCATATGAGTTCTATGCACCGGATCCTGATTATCCCAATTAGGTCTTTGGAGTGGCCATTTAATATCTGCTTGAGGTCCCTGGTCATGTTGAGCATCCCACAGTCTCATTCCTGCTCATCTAATCATATCTCTTTCCTCGGTAGTAAATAATTGACCAAGGATAGATTGCATCTCATCCCAAGTATAAAGGTTTGGTCCCAAAAATTGATCTAATCTTTCTGCTACTCCAAGTGGGTCCTCTATTAAGTTTCCCATCTTGGTTCTTTTAAAATCTCGTAGGTCAGCCGAGTTTAAGGGTACGGAAATATATCCGATCACAGGTTGAGGTCCCCCCATGGGTATTTCCCTTAGGGGGTACATCTGAGCTGCCCCTTTTTGACTTCTAGTTACGCGTCTAGGAGGAGGGGGAGACCCTTGTTCCGATCCTGGTGGGTGAGTGGGCGCTCTGGGGACCTCTGGAGGGGTTGCAGGAACAGGAGGAGGAATGTAAGGAGAGGGGGTTAGAAGGGTTTCGTCTAACTCTTCCTTCTTTTTCTTTTGTTTAGTTTTTTTTTATTTCATTCAGCGGATAAAGTCTAGTTCCCAGTCTTTCTAGCCACACTTCCGGATATTGACTCTCCTCCGGGTTAAGGAGGTTTGTTTTTTTTTTTATTATTAACCCAGAGGTTTAATTGCTGTCTTACCCAATCTTCTTCTGACCCATAAACTGGCCAAAAGACATTTTTAGAAATCTTCTTCCCTCCCCATATCTTAGTACAATATTCTATCATTTTCTGCTAATTGTCTAAGATATATGCCAGAGGGGTATTCTTAGAAATCTTCTTCCCTCCCCATATCTTAGTACAATATTCTCCAATTGTCTAAGATATATGCCAGAGGGGTATTCTTAGGTACAGTGGGTACCCTTCCCATGGGAGTCGAAGGCTTGCTGCCCTTCGCCCCCATCTTCTGGAATATCTACAAACATCCACTCGCTCACTCCCCTTGTTCCTGGCCCAGTCCCTCTCGGGAGATGGGAAAGCAGTACTTAAGAGTCCACACTCGCTTGGTTCAGTATATCGAACCTCTCACTCGTTATATTCCAGGAAACCCAATCCCGCCCGAACGGCAAACCCGCGAACAACTTCGCAATATACTTACGCGTCCTGCGTCTTCGTCCGGACTCCCGTGCACAGAATTTTTATGGGATTTTACCGGTTTTTCCTTTGCTCATTATTCTAGAATTTAGGTTCGTCGGTAAGGTTGGGGTAAGCTGTTGGTCGCGGGGCCGCGAAATGTCGCGGGGCGCCTCCCCGGAGGACCAAAGCCCACCATTCCTCATCCGAGTCACGGCACCAGAAAAGTTGTCATAAATTGGGACCACAACGGATCATAATCCAATTAAAATTTTATTAATTATAGCAAGTAGAATATGAGCAAAAACAGCGCTGGACGACAGGGGAGTCTGCGCTCCGCCAACTGCCGTAAAGAGCAGTTCAAGCAGCCCCTTTTTATACATCTTTACTTCCGTGTTCATGAAGTAGTGGAGGTACTCTGCGCATGCTTCACATAGTTGACCTTTTACTCATATGTCCTTTTATGGAGTTGTTATCTCACTTTCTTCCATTTCCTGGAGCATCTTGCAGTTATCTTCAGTTTGCACAATCGGTATCTGGTTTAGTTGTGTAAGCGATTGCGGTTATCTTATCTTGCGTAAGCTGTGTCCGGTGGCTGTTTGCATAAGCGATTTCATATCGTTTGTTGCCTAACCTTTACATTGGGCTTAACATAAACCTTAATAAACAATACCCTAGTCTATAGTTTATCACACTACGACAGTTTCTTGGCAACAACCAAAAATGTCAGTGTTTTATCAGCACTGTTCTCAGGCTAAAGTAAAAAACACAGCACTGCACTAGCTACTAAGAAGGTGAAAAATAACTGTTACAGCTGAACCCAGGAGAGCAGTTAATTAAGAAATAGGTTTGGAATTTTGTTTCTTTGGGACTTTTTTGTGTTTCGGGGGTTTGTTTTGTGGATTTTGTGGGTTTTTTTGGTAGGTTTTTTTTTTTTTGTTGGATTTTTTTTTTTACTTCCCTTTTTGTTTAATTCTTATTCTTCAGTCAGTTGTGGCCTTAATGTTATTGAGAGCTTGTCATAGTTTAAAACCAGTCAGGCAGCTCGTTCACTCACTTCCCCCCTTATTTCCTTCCCCATACTCTTGGAGGGACGGAGAGGAGAATTGTAAAGAATGCAACTCCCACAGGTTGAGATAAGAACAGTTTAGTAACTAAGGTATAACACAAATCACTACTGCTACCCTCAATAATAATAATGATAAAGGAAATAACAAGGGAAGAGAATACAACACCTCACCACCCACCGACCGATAACTTGCCCCCCCAGCCTGACCAAGCACCGACTGATACCACATCCAACCCCGCAGTCCTAACCCTTCCGGGTAACTCTCAGTTACATCCTGGGCATGACATGCTGTGGTATGGAATACTTTTTTGCTCATTTTGGGTCAGGTGTCCTCCCTCTGCTTCCTCCTGGCTTCCCCTCCTCCCTGAGAGAACATGAGGTTCAGAAAGTCCTTGGTCAGACTAAAACATCAATGTTATCAGCGCTGCTCCCAGCCCGAAAGTCAAAACACAGCACTGCACCAGCTACTAAGAAGGAGAAAAAATGACTGCTACTGCTAAACCCAGGACAGAGCTCTGGTGGTCCTTAATCTGTCTCGGAAGCAGGAATTTTCTGTGAACTTTAAGACATGATTGGATGCAATCAACTATGGGTGTCTTGTCAGGAGCTCTTCTGTGAAATGTCCTTATGGGAAGGACCAGACCTTCTTTATAAGAGTACTTAGTTCTGTGGTGCCTGCAGGTTTCCCTTCTGGAGATTTCTCATCACAGGGGCAGACCAGAACAGAGAACTTAAGATGTGGTGCACTGTGTCTTGGATCTGTCTGCAAACTGTCTGGTAGGTGTTGATGTGCTGACTACCTGAAGGGTTGGATTTACTTTGAGGAATGGATCATAATAAAGCTCTCAATTTCCAGGTATATTTACTTTGCAGAAGTGGTCCTTGATCCCCAGTGGAGTCTACTTTAGCTGCAGTTAGAGCCTCCTTAGCTTTCAGCAGATAGGTCAGACTGACAATCAGGGTGGTGGCAGACTGTCAGGTTGAGCTTTGGCAAAGCTGGAGAGATTTATTTTTCTGTACAGTCTCTTTGGTGTTATCAAGAGCTGTTGTCTTTGCTCTATAGAGCATAGATATACCTGTAGCTTGAGGAGAGGTGTTCCAAAATTGCACACCTTGAGTGCTTTCTTCTGTAAAAATACTAGAGATTCAATAACCAATCTAGCATCTCTTCCTGTTATTGCTTTTTCTGATTTAAATAATAAGCTGTTACATTGACAGAGCTTAAGCAATTACACAAGTCTTATTTGCTAAGCCATATACATCTAGAAGTTCAAATTCTGCTTTTGTCCATTCCTTCATTCAACTTATGTTCCCTGCTTTCTCTTTTCTGATGGTGGGTCATGGCCTCTCTGATCACATGCACACTTAAGGCCGCTTCTGAATTGCCCTTCTAAAGCAAGAAGAATATTGCTTTTTCCACCTCATACTACAGAAGGTCCAAAGCATGTAGATGGGTTATTTTGGTTTCTGGAAATAATAGCAAACCGTAATTTTTCATTAGATGTTCAGAATCCTTAACTAGATCCTACTGTGTGATCTCCCTCTTAGCTGAAGTCAGCACTGATTTCTGCAGTGATGGCTTTATTCTAGTGAGTGGTTGCACTGTAATGTGGCTGTAAACTCCTTAAGATGTTTGTTAGTTTTTAACTAATACAGTTTCATAGCAGTTTTTCTGGTTGTGCTAATATACCTTGCTTTCTGCACCACTCTTCACCCCCCTTTATTTGTGTATCTAGCTTTTCTCCTGACATCTTCATCTCCATGAGTATTCTTCCCAGCCTGAAAGTCTGCCTGGACCTCTCTGCTGAATATCTGATACTGAGTGATGTGCAGAGAAAAGTAGGTGGTTCAATTTATTGCTGGCTGGGGGGTAATGGCAGCAGAAGGAGAAATGGCCTTCTGTGGGATTGGTTCTGCTGCCTAAGTATAGGGATTCAACATTAATAGCTAAAAATGTAGAGATTGGCCTCAGCTATTTCACTGTAAAATGGCAAATGGTAACAATTCGGCTGGTTAATCCTGAGGAGCCTTCAGGATTATTTCTCACTCTGAGATAAAACTCTCACTTGGAGAAACCTGCCTCTGGCACAGTAGGATTGAGTCACCAATCAGCATTGACTCAGATAGGAGTGTGCTTGTTGAGGTTCCTCTGGGTGTTATGTTTCAGATTTAAATGGCACAGGCTTTATTCCTCATGTTATTTCCATTGTTCCAACTTTAGTTCAGATGCTAGGCTTTGTAGTCTGCACACACGTACACATGGTCTTCTCTAAAAGACCAGTGACTTCCTGTTTCTGATTCTTCCAGGTTTTGTATGTGATGGAGCTGATACAGAACCAAGAGGAGGGCAAAGCTTACTTCAGCTCCATCTCAGAGTTCCTCTTTACCCACCCAGTTCTAAGCTTTGGCATCCAGGCAGTGAGCCCCTGGTGGTTAAGGCACGCTGAAGTGCTCCCACCAGAAGAGGAAAGTGACAACCCGAATGTAGGTAGGTGGGAAGAGAACTTGTCTGCTGTGAGATCAGGATTTTTATCCCGGCTAGTTCTGGCTTTCTCATGAAAGGTTGTCTTGTGAAAATGGTTTTGGATCTTGTTGGTATTTGATTTATTTTGTGGCTTGTTTCATTAAGGATTTCGGTCTTGTGATTTTGGTATCGGTGACAGACTGTTATAACTAAGCAGGGGGCATCTTGTGGTTTGGGTCCTACAAGGCGCAGGGGATGTCTTGTGGAAATGGTTTTGGGTCCAGTGTGCTATCAAAAGCCCATAAGGGATTTGATTCAGTGATGCTGTCAGCGTGGGTCCCTGAATAGGTTAGTCGAATCACCCTCCAACACAGTGGGCTCTCCAGTTCGGTTCCCACAGTGGGACGCAGACAGGCTGGTCAGACACAAGGATCTCATCCTTCTTGGGACACTGACAGGCTAGTCAACTATAAAGGGTTCAAGGAAACCCCCCTATTACAATATGGTCTGAGACATAGGGATTAAGAAGTATTGCTTTTGATTCTACTGGTATTTGCCTTATTTTGTGACTTGTTACAGTAATGATTTTGATCTTGTGATTTTGGTACTGGTAACAGGATGCTATAACTGTGTTATTAACTGTTGTTTGTTTGGTTGAATTTAAGTCTCTGTCTTTGTCTCAAGTCTTGTAACTGTGTGGAGTATGTCTGGGGATCCCGTCTGTGTGTGTGTGAATGTGAGATGGATAATGGTAAATCAGCAGAGTGAAGAGATCTTGGAAAAGAATCCTTTTGGGTGCATTTAGGCACATTGGAAAGAACTTGGAGGGTCTCCTGGGGGCTTGGTAAATAAGAAAACACTGGTAAAATATTGTAACCAATGGTGGCCTTTGTATACTTTGGAAGATCAGGAAAAATGGCCTAAAACTGGAACTCTGAACTATAATACATTGTTACAATTAATGTTGTTTTGAGCTGGCAAGGAAAATAGGATGAAGTACTGTATGCAGATATGTTTTTCACTTTAAGAAATTACGTGGAGTGACAGACTGAATGCAAAATTAATACAGCTCCGCTATATCCCTTAATTTTGGCTTTGGAAAAGGACAGGGAAAAACTGAAAGCTAAGCTGGAGAAATGTTGTTCAGCCTGTGATATTGGGGAAAGATATCTAAAGTTAAAAAACAGTAATCAGGAAGAGAGGTTGGAAAGTCATGTATCACATACAGAGAGGAGCACCCTCTGTATCTGTCCTATCTGATATTGATAAGGAGGAAGAGATTGCTGTCACTGGCAACAAGAGGCACATTCAGAGTTAAGAAAGGGTTAGACCAGAAGTGCTGTTACAGAGGCAGGCATCTGCAGCCCCTGCAGAGCAGGGTGAGCAGCTGTGAGAAAAAAAAAAAAAAGGGAAAACCAAGGGGGAAAGGAGGGGAGCTCGAGCAGCTCCTGTGTTTGAGCGTGGGAGGAGGGATGTCCTGCGAAGGTGCGGGAGTGGGCTTTTCTTCTGTAGAATCAGACAGGTGTGCGTGGTATGGGGAGTTTGGATGTTGGAAGTGAGACTGCCCTGGGCAGGGGGGGAGTGCCATGGAGTGGCTCCGGTGACTGAACTGGAACTAAACTGACGGGGACCTGGGGAATCTACCCTAGCAGATCCACTGGTTACATTAAAACTAGGGACTAGAGGAAATAAAGTGGAATTTTAGTGGATACAGGAGCAACTTATTTGGTGTTAAATCGGAGAGAAAAGAATTCGTTACAGATGTGGGAGCTACTGGCCACCAAGAGAAAAAAAAAAAAAAAAGAGGCATTCTTTCTGAAACCTTTAAAGTACAAATTGGGAAAACAAATAGGAATGCATAAATTTTTATGCATGCCAAATTCTCTAAAATCTTTATTAGGGCGAGAAGCAACATTTAAGGAAGGCAAAATGGAATTCAGAGTTAAAAACAATCAATTAATTGCAGTTTTGAGTTTATCTTTAATTCAACAGAAAAGCAAAAAGGAGGACCTCCCTGAAATAGAAGAAATCCTTAATCAGGTATATGTGGGAGTATGGGCATCTGAAGTTCCAGGTAAGGCGAAAAATGCTTTGCCTGTTAAAGTGGAAATAAAAAAGGGGGGGAGCTTGCACAATCAGAATAAAACAATATCCCTTAAAATTAGAAGATAAAAGGGAATTAAAAAAAATTGATAATTTTTAAAATCATCATCATCATGGCTTGACTTCGCGAACGAAGATTTGGGAAGGGCATTTACCCACGCTTACTACAAGCGCGCTGGTGACTAAGAAGGCCAATGTGGGATAGGCAAATCCGGCTACAAAAAGCACAGCAGAAGGTCTCCTTGGGTGGAACAGGTGGGACACGATTCTTCCTGCGTTGTCTTTTCTCCTCGAGACTAGTTCTTCGTGAGCTCTCAAAGGAGTCAGCGGCATTATGTATGGTGTGCCTCCAAGTCTCCCGATTGGAGGCCAAGGTGGACCACTGATGGTAGTCAATATGGCCAAGGCTAAGGTATTGTTTCAGGGAGTCCTTGTATCTCTTCTTTGGGGCACCTCTCTTGCGGCTACCGGTGGCAAGTTCACCGTAAAACACGATCTTGGGGAGGCGGTGATCCTTCATTCTAGAGACGTGCCCTGCCCAGCGCAGCTGCAGTTTCAGCAATGTGGCCTCGATGCTGGTGACCCCTGCCTGTTCGAGGACAGTGACATTAGACACATAGTCAGTCCAATGGATGTTTAGAATTGAACGGAGGCAGCGCTGATGAAAGCGTTCCAGGAGTCGCAGGTGATGACGGTAGATGACCCATGATTCAGACCCATATAAAAGAGTAGACAATACAATGGCTCTGTAGACACTGATCTTTGTACTTTTCTTCAGGTGTTTATTACACCAGACTCTTTTATGGAGTTTTCCAAAGGCTCTATATGCCTTTGCTATTCTGTTGTCTATCTCTTTGTCGATCGTGGCATCCGAGGAAATGATGCTTCCCAGATAGCTGAACTGCTGAACTGTCTTAAGCTCTGACTCGCCGATGGTAATATGGGGATGGCGATAATCTTCTTGGGGTGCAGGTTGGTAGAGGACTACTGTCTTCTTCAAGCTGACTTCCAGCCCAAAAACCTCAGCCGCCTCCGCAAAGCAAGATGTTAAACGCTGCAGAGCTGCTTCTGTGTGGGCAACAAGGGCGGCATCATCAGCAAAGAGCAGTTCACGGACAAGATGGTTTAGGGTCTTAGTGTGGGCCTTCAGTCGCCTTAGATTGAATAGGCTACCATCGGTACGATATCGAATATAAATGCCGTCTTGTTCGTCGAGGTCTGCTGTAGCCCTTTGGAGCATCATGCTGAAGAAGATTGTGAATAAGGTCGGTGCGAGAACGCAACCTTGTTTCACACCATTGGTTATTGGGAAAGGCTCAGAGAGTGCATCACCATACCTGACTTGGCCTTGCTGATCCTCATGTAACAGAATAATCATTTCAGGAACTTGGGGGGACAACCTAATCGTTCTAAGATCAGCCACAAGCCTTTCCTGCTCACAGTGTCAAAAGCTTTGGTGAGGTCAACGAAAGTTACGTATAACCCCTTATTCTGTTCTCTACACTTTTCTTGCAATTGTCTGAGAACAAATACCATGTCTGTGGTACTTCTATTAGCCCTGAAACCACACTGACTTTCAGGTAGAAGTTCTTCTGCGATGGCAGGTACTAGTCTGTTCAATAGTATTCTTGCAAGAATTTTACCAGCAATGGAGAGCAGAGTTATACCACGGTAGTTTGAGCAGTCTGACTTGGCACCTTTTTTCTTATACAGAGTGACGATGATTGCATCACGAAAGTCTGACGGTATTTTGCCTTGTTCCCAACAGCACACAACTAGCTCATGAAATTTAGCGTGGAGTGCTTGGCCTCCATGCTTCCATATTTCAGGTGGGACTCCGTCAACCCCAGCTGCCTTGCCAGTTTTCACCTGCTGTATGGCCTTAAGAGTCTCTCCCATGGTAGGGGCTAAATCCAATTCGTTTTTCACCGGATGTTGCGGAATGTGCTGGATTCCTTCACCTTGGACTACACGATTAGCACTAAAGAGGGTTTGAAAATGTTCAGACCAACGATTCAGGATGGAGATTTTATCTGTAAGAAGCGTTTGGCCATCTGCACCAAGTAAGGGGCTTTGAACCTGGAATGTGGGTCCATACACTGCCTTCAGAGCCTCATAGAATCCTCTGTGGTCACCCAGATCTGCACATAGTTGAGTCTTTTCTGCTAGGTTGAGCCACCACTTGTTCTGGATGTCTCTAAGTTTCTGTTGGAGTTTGCTACATGCAAGACGAAAGGCTGCTTTTCTTACATGGCAGAGTGGCTGAGCGAGGTGTGCTTGATGAGCAGATCTCTTTTTTGTCAGCAGTTCCTGGACCTCCTGGTTGCTATCGTCAAACCAGTCTTTGTTTTTCTTTGAGGAGAACCCAATGGATTCTACAGAGGACTGCAGGATGCTGTTTTTGATATGTTGCCAAAGCGCTTCAGGAGAAGAATCTGTAAGTTGGTCTTCAAGCCTAGTTTGAAGGTTAGCCTGAAAGCTCTCCCTCACTGCAGCTATTTGAAGATTATCAACATTGAGCCTCCTCCTTGGAATGCCGCCCCTCTTAGGTTTGGGCTTGAAGTGGAAATTAAGTTTGCAGCGCACAAGGCGGTGGTCTGTTTGGCATTCTGCACTAGGCATCACTCTGGTCTGGCAGACATCACGAATATTTCTCTGGCGCACTAAAACATAATCAATAAGGTGCCAATGTTTAGATCGTGGATGCATCCAGGTTGTCTTCCAGCTGTCTTTCTGCTGGAAGATAGTGTTGGTGATGGTAAGCTGTTGCTCTGCACAGAACTCTAGTAAGAGACGACCGTTATCATTGCAGTTGCCAACACCGTGCTTGCCTAGTACTCCTTTCCAGGCTTCAAAGTTCTTTCCTACTCGGGCGTTGAAGTCACCAAGGATTATGATCTTATCTTCTATAGGAACTTTCTGAGTGAGGTGACGCAGGTCGGAGTAGAATTTTTCTTTTTCTGCAGGGTCAGCTTGCAGAGTTGGAGCATATATGCTGAAAAGAACA